CTACGGCTAATGACCCATGCAAAGCGATGAAGAGAAAACTTTGAAAGTTTACGATGCTGAAGAATCTTATCATCGTGTTTGTTAGGCTCAAGCTCGTGATACAAGGTACGCAAATTACCATAAAGCTCGAGAAAATCACAATATAAACGGTGCTGTAGTGGCGAAAGCTTGCAACACAAGATCCACTCCATCTTAGCCAATATTGCTGCGAGAAGAGCACGATAGCTAATTTTAGGTTTTATAATAAGGGTCGTCACTACCGTCAATCGCTTGGATAATTCTGAAGGGTTGACTCTCTGAATATATCACCCATCACCATTTTTATCGCGCTCCACAATTTAGACGAAATCGCATTGGAGGTGTAGCTCTCGTACCTGACAAGTGATTTCTTTTGCACACATTTACAGAGCTCCAAGGCAAGCACGTCATTATGCTAACAACGATTATTCCTTTCTGACTACGGAATGTCTCAAAATGAAAGTCAAAGATGTTCAGTTTTATTACATCACCAAACATCCGCCGTTCAGCCCCCTTCTTTCGTAGACTCAATCAATGTAAGGAACTGGTATCATAACGAGCAGATGAGGTGTCTACATACCCCTGTGCTCAAAGTGCAGACTGTGGTGCTGACGTTTCTACTGAGCACCCTTATCCCCCCCCCTCCTTCATTGTGCTCCGACGATTTGCTAGAGCCAGCCCGTGGGTTGGTGCATCGCTCATAACTACCATGCAAAGAAATATTTCCTAACTAGACGTACGCTACCAATGCCTCGGAGATACGGGATCTCTACGAAAATGTAAAGGTACATTCTGGTATGGCTTGATGGAGATTCCTGTGGCCTATATTAATTTCGAATGTGCGATATTGATATTAAATACAGGTTCAAGTACTTAGTGGTCCCGATGGAATTATCTGACGTATCAGCAATATTTAACGACGGGAGTCAACGTTTACTTATAGACTAGGTTGACTTCTGTCTACGTTATTTCGACGGCATCTACGTTGCTTTCTGAGAAGGAGATCTCCATACCAATCTGCACCTCCAAGCCACGTACTGGGAGGTTAGAATAGAATATATTCTATTCCACCTTCCACTATCTTTCACTAAGCCATTATGTTTCGAAATAGTCGGCCAAGCTGCTTAAACCAGCAGTGTTTTTTCAATGATTCAACACTTTGGATCAAACTTTGTAGTATTCCATGAGACTATTTGTGTAATGCATAGCCATAATTCCTTTGTAGACAACCGCGCCTACTCGGTCGTTCGTGTGCCGTGTTTGCTTCCGTATGCTGTACAGAACGTAAAACAACATTAGAAAGGTGGCTTGCTGAAACGAAGCAGTGGATGTCAGGCCATTATATGGGGCATCTTCAGCATCACCCAAAATAGCATTAATCCTAGGCAACACTTGAAATGGCTTCTGACACACTTGCAATAAAGCGGATAGAGCACCATACTCAGATTGGGCCAGCCGGCTTGCGACAAACATGGCTGTCAAGTGGTATCGTCGCGACTTGTCGCTGAAACCACATGTAATGACAGGATATTCAATCTTAATTAGTCTGAGCGTAAAATCTATATGAAAGAAGCTAAAGATGTCGTTTTGCTGAAAAAAATATCTTTCTCAAAAAGACCAACCGTTGTTAGCTCTGCAATGAAGAAGTACATCAAAGAGATAGATGAGACCGGGCTAGCGCCTGGCACATTTGGTCGGGACCCCGTCGCTGTGCAGAAGCACCGTTCTTAGTTGACCAGCCCTCATATGATCAGGTAGGTCGATGTGTGAAGTATTCCCGCGTTAAGGGTAGGCAGCGCAACACAGTGGACTCTATAAAGACGGTATTACGCAAGTTTCCAATCCATTCCGGGTTTGATGAGCACAAGGCTTTCATGTTCGGTCCAACCCTTGACGACGATAATTTTGCGCATGTCGGTCAAAGCGAGGACAAAAGTGCTTTTATCGCTGGGGTGACGACCATATTGACCACGACGATTATGCACACACGCGGTGAAGTCGATTGTCAAGGTAAGCATCGCGCAGTTCGCAAGTTGGTGCTTGAGTACTGCCACACGTTCCACACCTTGGTGCATTTTGCCTTGTTGGTAGTGGCCGCGAAAACGCAAGCTGAACTGGATCAGCATAATCGTCGTTTTTACAGTTCGTGATCTCCTGGGCAGAGTTGACAGAGCTGTACTCGCTTAGCGCAGACAGCAGTGCAACACAGTCGATACAGGCGGGATTTGGTGTACATATTAGCAGTCGATCCACGGTGATGTACTTGCCAGACTTCTGAAAGAGGTCACGGGTTTAGGCAACGTTTGGCTTGTATGGAGAGAAGCGAAGATTCACCACTCGGGGAGCAGACCGAAGCGAAGACACTTGAGGGGAAGAAGGAAGATTCCGAAGTGATTGATTTATCGGGGCTTACACTGTCCTCACTACGTAGGTCATCCAATCATTTGGTGCATCCACTCACCAACACTCGTCTAATCATCGATAGCGTAATCAGCGTACCGTAATCATCGCGGGATCGTGTTGGACCGGTTTGGCTACCGGTTTATGGGTACTTACCGTCTGAAACCGGTACCCCTCAATAACCGCACGTGGTAGTCCATTAGCTCCAGCCATTAGATTTTCCGGTGGCAGACCAAAAACTAAACTTAGTCGTTTTTTGGGCACAAATTCACTTTTAGGCAATTGTTGGCTTTGGGTCTCTGTTTTCTTTGGTTTTGGCCCGCTTCCTTGTTCTTTTTCTTGCTATTGTCGAAATGTGCTTGCTCGTGATCAAAATATGCTTGGTTTTGCCCTTCAAATCGTTTGCTATTCATCCCGTCTTGTCAATAGCTGGGTCCGTATTGTCGAGTTCGCGAGCCGCTGACTCGAGGAGAGGCACAAACGCGACCTGGAACGGCGATAAGGTACTATCCCCCGAAGTGCTATATGACACTGACACAGGAAGCTTTCGCAGGATTCTCATTGTCCTTGATGTGTGGCGGCAGAGCCGCAAAATCAGGTCGACTCAGTGAAAGACCATCGACTTCGCGGCCTAGAAAATAATCTCCAGCTAGTTCACATCTAATAAAACGGTCTTGTACGCCTCCAACTGACCTTTCAACTCATATACAGACACTGGCAATAGAAGGCCTACTTGTAGAGCCGCTACAAGTAAAAGTTGCCACTCCTTTCTGAATTGAATGTGCTCCGAAGTGGGTCTGGTGTTTGAAATTGTTTATTAGCTTGCGAAGAATATTGCTAATTCTAGCCTTTTGCTTTGATCCTTGAAAGAGGGACCCTGATGGTTGTACCCGTCCGCGCCCCAAAAAAACCGCTAAGGCGGTATCCAGCACTCTCTGGGCTAAACGAATTCGCATACATGTGCCGCGGGTCTTTTAGTCCGTTTCCCTCCTGATTGGTCTTTGATTTGTACATCACGCATCGAACACTATCGTTGCACCACGCTAAGTGCTCTGTACACTATGTATGTACCGACTCGGACCGGCACATAAGGTTCCACTGGGCTGTCAGGAACATGTGTTCAAACTCGCCGTCGTAGCGAGTTACTGTCACTTGACGCAGCTCACAATACAGCGAAAATGGCAAAGGATCTTTGCCTGACTCTCTCGGGGGGGGCCCGATTGAAGCCTCGAAGCTTCCATTCGCTTCAACCCAGAAAAGAATGTCGTCATGCTCTCGTCGTACGCACCAGGTATAGGAGCCTGACGGCGCCAAAAAAGGTCTTTAATTGCACTTCGATATCCGCTCAGGGTTCCAACGCTAACACGTTTCCGTTTTCCAGCAAAATGTCTTCAAAATCATTAGCACTAATGTGGTTCAGATCGATCTTGGCGTTTAAATGAAAATACTGCAAAGCACACTCGCCTTTAGTAGCCCGAATCGACTTTGCAGTGAGCGCCGGACACTCTTTGTAAGCTTTGTGTGTCTTTGATGACACACACGCATCGCGTACATCTTGTGCGGTGACATCCCGCTCGTTGGTACCATCTCTTAACGTCGTCGCCCTCGGGGCGGAGCTGGTACTGGTCAGCGTTGCACTCGTCGGGACAGAGCTGGTACCGGTCACTCGGACGGATCCGCTACTGCCCAACGTCGGGGCGGAGCTGGTACTGATCAGCGCAGCACTGGGCTAAACGGATCCGCTGCTGCTCAACGTCGCGGCCGTCAATGCGGAGCTGGTACTGGTCAGCGCAGCACTCGCGGGCGTCTGGGCGGAGGTGGACTTACAATTTGCGTTGGTCATCTTCATGGTAAGGCACTTGAGGTGAAGTTGCGCCGCGTGTCAATCTAACGCAGTCGGAATTTTCGGTTGACCACAGTTCATTTGGCTTTGCATACAAATTATTTGTGATACAGTGTTTTATACAGGAAATTGTCACGATCCGGCGGCCAGTATTTAAACGTTATTTTACAAGCTCCGAGATACTACGTTTCCACGACAATTTTTATAGAACAGTACGTACTACCGTAATGTGTAGACGCTAAAATACTACTTTCAATGTTGTAGCGCTGAGTGCCTAACCAAGTTAGAAAAATCGAATACTCCACATAATTCTATGATGTCATTAAATGACATCATAGAATTTTATGTCTTAGATTCCTGGCCGATTTAAATTCTGAAGGACTTGTCGTCTCCTTTAATTTTGGCGAAGACAGTGTCCGTCAAGACATTTCAGCACTCGAGATTCACAAGTGCTTCGTGCGGTCGTTTTGCCGCCTCGCGGACGTTATGCAAAGACTGGGAACTCTGTTTGTTAAAGATGAGGGACAGATTTATAAATGCTCTTATTTACACAACAATGAATATTATAATCGTACGCTCCAAAATTTAAGTTGTGGGGTATGGAAAGTTACTGGACGAATGGAGTCGCTTAGAAGTAGCATTCTACCCATAACTTCTGCTTGTAAGATACTCCAACAATCTTCAAAAGTGAGCAAAGCATTAACGGCAACACCTAACGACGTTGCTATTTGAGAACGACTCATCCCAAGCAGCACTTGAAGTCCCACGGACACGGCAGAGTATACGATTTTGCCTCCTTATTAAACTGCCAGATCATGAACGAAGTGATGTCGTCGTCGATGCCATCGAGAAACAAATTACCAGGGAACGAACCCGGGTCTTCGATCTCCCAGTGGCGGACCGTGCCCGTGCAGTTCTTGCTAGTGTAGAACGCGATGCGAGACTTGCCGTCAAAGGCGCCCCACTTTACCAGCCCTTTCCACTTGACAGATGTAGCTCGGTTGTCGTAGCAGCTCAGATTGATGCACTGCTGCGAGTCATCGATGACGTACTTGTATGTGCCCCCACTCTTGTCATGCCAACGATTATTGTAGAAGGTCACGCCGCCAGACCATGCCGTCACCGAGTGCAACACGAACAGGAAAAACACCGATACAGATAGTGCAGACATGATTGTTTGCGCTGGGCTGTCCACCACAAAGTAGATTGAGGAATGCTCGACAACTACGTTTACCATGGTACTAGCCGCAATGAGAGGTAAGTACAGCTCTCGAAAAATTCGAATGCATTTACTCACCGTGTGCTATAGGTTCGTCGAGCCGTGCAATCGAAGGTATTTTGTTGTCGCCAGCATTTTCATTGCGCCACAATCATCGAAAGCGCAGTCCTATTCAGTATCGTTTGAACTGTGTGTTGTAGTCAAAACAAAGTTTCAGATGGTATCGTAATTTACTCGACGATTGGAATGCTACATCTACCCCTAACCACAATTTAGAACTTTAGATTCTGGAATAGCTCGGTTGCGTTATTTCACTGGAAAAAAGTATTGGAATATCGATCGGTATTGTATCCGTCATTTATTCAGATTTTATCCAGATAACCGCTATTCCAAGTCATGCGTTATTCCAGAAACTAAAGCTCCCTAATAATTTATTTCTTGACGAAGAAAATTCTTAATCCAAAGCCTGAGTTATTTCAGACACCAAAGTTAAACCTTACAGCTTATCAAATTTCATTATACTAAAGTACGAAGTTACTTTTGCTGGGAAGTTCGGCAGAGCGCACTTGCATAAGGTTAAATTAGGGAGGTGTGACCGAAATCGAGCGCGTTAAACAATCCGAAGTCACCTTCGCGACGAAAAAGTATTTCATTCGGTTAGACATGAAAACAAAGTACCAATCATAAACCTGACAAGTCTACGCTGCCGTTGCGTCAACCTTGCGCACCTGCTTGACGTCCAGAACTTCTCCGATCCATTGCGAGATGTGTGCAGCCATATCTCGCGTTCCATTCTTCTCCATCATAAAAGCATGAGCTTGTGGCACGACGCGGTGCTGGCTGTTCGCGAAGCGCACCTGGTACTCCTGCACGAACTCTGCAGGCACCCACTCGTCCACCGTCGAGTAGACGAATAGAGTTTTACTCTCGAATGGGGTCACCAACTCGTAATCCAGTTCTGTTACATATTTCATCTCGTCTGCAGCCATTCCCAATACATTGCGCATGACAGTCGTGTTGACTAGTGACAGCGACGCCAGCTGCAGCGTCTCGGACGTCTTAGATCCCACCACACAACGCACAATCCAGCGTCTTAAAAGAGAAGGTACTAGATATTCCACTGCTCCAACCAACGTGACGCCACGCTCGTAGTGGTTGAACAGCGGCATCATCTGTTTGCCTTTAGGAGACAACGCCATGTGCTTAATTGTTGGCTGCATAAGCACCAGCTTGGCGATCTGTTGAGGGAATCGCCGTGCAATGTCCAGAGCGAAGTAGCTGCCGATCGAGTGGCCGATAACCACGAGTTGCAGCGTCGGATCTTCGCGTAGACGATGCTGGAGGTAGAAGGCTTTGTGCTCCAGCTGCTCCTGAAGAGAGAAGGCGCGTCCGTTGTTCTTCCAGGGCATGAAGTGGCCAGCATGTGACAAGCAGCGGACTTCGTGACGGCGTCCGTGTGTCTTGACGAGTTCCTGCATGAGTGGAAGGTAGTAGAACGGGACGCCAGGGTTGCCAGGGATAACGAGCACGAGGACGTTGTCTCCTTCCGACATGTCCATTGGGTAATATACTAGCGACTGTGCCTGTGTGCCATCCTCATCTATGACATGCCACTCTTCCGCCGGGGCTGCGATTGGACTGTGGTGCACAGCGTCGTCGTGGTGGGAGTGGTCGAATTCGACGGTCAATTGGCGACTTAGCGCATTGTGAAGAAGCAACTGGTTCAGGTGGCCGCGACGACGGTGATACACGAAGCGAGCGAGCGCCAGAGCCAAGATGGGGGCCAGTAAACTGTGACGCTGCGCCTGGAGCTTGAGATTCTCCACGAATTCAGCCACACTGGGAGGCAGCGACGACACCATCGTGGGTGGACGCAAGATATCGAATGACACATTCGAAGCTGACGTTGATGCAGCTTGATGGACGCAACGTAAACCCACACCCTGATGCTATTGGTTAAATTTTAAAAGATAAAGCGTGTGGTAGTTTGGACCAATCACAGACTGTGTTGACTCGACTCCACTGGGCAAGTATGAGCGACGAGGTCTGGGATGCTGCTGCGCCACGCGCGTCTGAAGCGCGACCCGCAGGCTTAAAGATGTTGTTGATGGAGAAAGTAGACTCAACCTTACGTCTGCTACATGCTGCGACTTGTGAGCTGCTAGAGACCGAGAACCACGATGAACTAGAACACGCTATGTCTCGCTTGCTCGGATATCTGCACCGCGAGATAGCGACACCGTCAGAAGCGTCTGTGGAGCCGTCTGTGCTGACGGAATCGCCCCAGATATTCTTACAGTGGCATAAGCTGCAGCAGGCGATGCAGAAGCCAATGAACCGACGGTTGTGGATGCTCTGGGTGGAACTGGGGTGTACGCTGGCTGTGCTGCACTGCTCTGACGCAGAGAAGAAGGCGGAGAGTTTTGCGCAATTGGTGACGACATCACAGCCGCCTAGAGATTGTCCGACGTTGAGAATCCACTGTGATAAGGAGAACCAGGTGGCTTATAGCTGTCAGCTATGGGATGCCGTGATGGTCAAGCCATTATCTGGAGCTTCAGTAAGCGTTGTTAACGATGTTTCTCCAAGGTTAATTGATACTCATCTGCACTTGATGACGCCGGCGATGCGTGAGTATGAAGTGGCGTTCATTGCCATTATAGCTACCCCACTTCGACGACACATTGAAACTACTTCGACCAGCAATTCGCTGGTTGCGGGTATATGGCTAAAGTATGCCGCTATTAAGATGGGACCTGTGGAGATTACGCAAAATGCTGCAAGTGTGGCTCTAACAGCTCTTGTTTTGAGTGCGTTGACGTCGACTGGAAGGGATCTCGACGTAACGAGGTATTTGGAGACGATGAGGGCTGCGACGGTCGATCAGTTGGCGCGTGGGGCATTCCCACAGCCCCACAACCCCGTTGCTATTGTTGCGTTTACGCTTGGTTTGTCATGTCTTGACGACACGAGACCATCGACTGCTGTCCAGTTACAGTCAGGGAATGCGACGTTGCTGTGCCAGTTCGCGGTGTTGCGCCTTGTCAATTTGCAGCTCCTCAGTTCTCACTATAAGCCATACGATGACGAGGCAATTTTGGATTATCAAAGGCAAGTTCAGCAGAGATGGGAGACGTTGGTTCTCGATCCAACAATTGCGGATGTGCATCAATACTCTCTTCGAATGACAGAAGCCTGCATCCAGGAGATGGTCGGCTTTTTCAAGTCTTCACGCGAGTCATATCTCTCTTTCGTGGACGCAGTGCAGAGTGTACTTTCGCCAGATCTCTTCCGTCCGAACGCTCTAAACCAGCCTCAACGTTCCACTAGCTCACCTGATGAAAATCTCCTCCCTACAGCAGCGGATATCGTGGCGTTCATTAAACAGTTCTATGGTATCGTAGCTCCACTGTTACAAGTGTTGTCAAGTGGCCATCTCGTGCAAGCCTTCGTCGCCCTGTCACGTATTGAGTTCGCTCGCGAAGTCTGTGCTTCCCCCACTGCCAATACGTCCATGCAGTCAGTGACTCAGCAATTGGAGTTAAACCTGGAGCAAGCTACAAGTCCTCCTGACTCGATATTCGCGCCGATCTTACGGTCTCTGGTAATGCAATCGACGACTTCGAACAGTGATATCATTCCTCGTGAGATGGATATTATTACTGGGTGTCAAACATTGGCAGTGGGTCTTGTGATGCAACGCAAGCTCCGCATTCTGCTGTTCCAGTGCGCGTCTCTGATCGATGATGCGCTTGCAGTCATCTTCTCTGGCCTCTACAACGCCTTCGACCCGGTAGACGCATTCGCTCACCGGTTCCTCGGCGTGTGTCTGTCACATCTCGGCCAGTTCACTCCGATCTTCACAGTCTTTCCACACTATCTGCAAGTTACACTCGCCGCGTTTCCAGCTAATGCATCGCCTCAGGATCTCACCAAGGCATGCGGTGCCATTTTCGGTTCGCTTTTCTATTCTGAAGCTCTCACGATGCCATCAGAACAGGCCAATGAGGTCGTGGAGACAACTCGACGAATGGTGTTGTGGGCGATTCGGAGATGCTGTGAACGCAGTACCGAGTTATTCGCTCTAGAAGACGAGGTGGTAACCCCAGCTGAGGACGCTCCTAATGCTACAAGGAGGACGGATGGACTGTATCTTGCTGGACTGGTGTTTGAGCTCTTGAAGATGGCGCCGTTGAGTGCTCTACGAGCTTGTGCGATGGAAGTGGAGCAGCTGCTTTCGCGGTGGAGGAGCAGTCCTCGTGTGCTGCGCCAGCTCAAGAGCTCGTTGTTTGCCAGGATTTCGCAGAACTGCGAGGCTGAAAAGCGCGCGTGGCTTGCCGCTTGGTACATCGAAGTTGACGAGCAATACCCAACCGAGATCTCAGCGCAGACTTCTCGCCTGTAAGTATAAATGTGAATTTCAAGTTGGCGATGCTAGTGCGATTTTTTTCAGTTATTTTCGTTATAAAATGTTGCTCGAAGAAAGCAAAACTTGAGTTTCTCTGATGTTATAGACGCTTGTCGCCGTCCCACTTGTAGAATCCCTCGCCCGTCTTGCGGCCTAATTTGCCCTCGGCCACTTTCTTACGGACAATTTCCGGCACGAAGAAGGCAGATTCGTTCGGGTGGTCGCGCACCCATCCTTCGAGGATGAAGAGCGTCGTGTCCAAACCCACGTAGTCCGCCAGTGTGATTGGGCCCATGGGGTGGCCGGCACCGAACTGCATACTCACGTCGATATCCTCCTTGCTGGCGTCCCCACGTTCGTACAGAGAAATAGCCTGAGCCAAGTAGGGAACCAGCAGTCGGTTGACGATAAAACCCGGGGTGTCCTTGCAGCTCACTGGGTGTTTGCCAATGTCCAGCACCCATTGCTTGCAGGCGTCGAAGATCTTTGGATCCGTGGCATCAGTGCGGACAACCTCCACGAGCTTCATAAGTTGCACGGGGTTGAAGAAGTGTAGACCCACGACTTGCGATGCACGACCCGAGGAGCCCGCAAAGTCCGAGATGGCCAAAGACGACGTGTTTGACGCCAGGATGGCTGAGGGCTTGGCTACTTTTCCTAGATTCGCGTAGAATTCCTTCTTCACCTCCACATTCTCCACGATAGCTTCGATCACAAGGTCGCAATCTGCCAATTCGCCCAATTCCGTTGTTGGTGTGATACGTGCCAACGTAGCAGCAGCCTGTTCGTCCGCTTGCTGTTGCGTGAGTGTGCCCTTCTTCACGCCGCGACTTAAAAGTTTATCTAGCGAGCTTTCGATGCGTTTCATGCCGCTCTCGAGGCCCTTGGGATTGGCGTCAAGTGCCACGACGTCAAAGCCCGCGGTAGCTGCTGTCTGGGCGATGCCGTGGCCCATGAGGCCTAGACCGACCATACCCACCTTCTGGATCTTGACGTCTCCAGCGGAGGTCGCTAGGGCGCGCGCTAGGAGCGACGGCGTGGAGCGAGGAAGTGAACGGAGAACAGAACGCAGCATCATATTTTGGGAGATCAAGTTGTAACTTGGATGCGGATAGGAGACTGTGGTGATGGGCGATGGTGCGTCATACATCGTGTTTACGAAGCGGACCCGACGTGAGATCTTCAAGTAGCAGGTTCGAGAGGGCATTACAAAACCATGTTTGAGAGGATATTAATTGACTGTGCTAAAATGAGTAAGGAAGGGTTTTCTATTGAAAATGCCCTTAGGCTATCTCCACTCGTAGTTGCTATCCGTATTGCAATCTGTCGAATCTGATTGGCTGTTGCTATTCGCTGCGATAATAGAAATAAGGATTTTTTACCAACTCCAGTCGTCTGGAGGCTATTCTATCGGCAATGGAGGGCAGTGACGAAGAGTTTCTCCTCGCTGATGACGATGATCTTTTAGCTGCTGTTTTCGCTGTGGTCTGCGCGGAGCCAACAGAACAAGCGACGGCTCCTTCACTTCGTCAAGGCTCAAACAAAGGAAGAATCAAGTTCTTCATCACGCAAATCGTTTTTGCGTTTTATTTCTTCCAGTATCTTCTCGTATCAGAATTTCTATTTTCAAATAGCAATAGCAACTCCGAGTGGAGATAGCAGAATATATTCTTTCTGATTCCGTCGCTATTTTAGCAATAGCAACTCCGATAGCAACTCGAGTGGAGATAGCCTTAGGCACTAATTTCACGGTACTGCGTAACCCGACTTTTGTTATCTCGTTCAACATTCGGCCTACATTTTGTTGTGTGCTGATTGTTGACCAAATGTTGCAGTCTAGTTGACCATGGTGTCAGACTTTCTGGTTGCTCTTTCGCTCTAATGAACAAGAATTCAGGCGAAATATTCGCATAACAAACACTCTGTCGCTTTTAAGAATTCTCTCAGTCACTGTGGCAATGTGTAAGTTACACTGTAACGGGGTACAATCCAGTGTGCCCCATGTTACATAAAGAGTGACCCGTCACTCTTGTGGATACCTGGTACACGGTACCAGGTGCTCTCGGAGCCAGTCAGTGCATGACTACTTAGCTCCACTATAGGTAACCTCTAGTTTGTATGACACCCAAGCTTATCTTACTTATAAATACATCAGTCTTAAAATCTACTCCTCTTAGTAGCAAACCGTTCCCACTGAGGCCGGGAACACGTGGACTTACGTTCACTCGGGTATTTAATACCCTTAAGCACTTCCTCTGTGCAAGGTGCTGTGTGACCCCGTCACACTTGGTAGCACTCGTAGTCAATCCAACACCATCGCGGGTAGATTGAGCTACCTGAATCCTCTGTGCGCTCAACGTCTGAGCCAAGATGGACCGGAGCGAGTTTTCTCGCTTGAACGACTCACAGTACGAGTCTGTTCGGAAGATGGGAGGCATCTTTGGACAAGATGTCCTTCGCAGCTTGGCGGCGGCGACGCCTGCCGAGCAACAAGAACGCGTGACCGCGTTTGAGACCTACGAGCGTGGTCTCATCGCTCACGTCCGCGGGAGCTTGGAGGCCACGATGGCCGCTCCCCAGGCAACCAGGCCTAAGCCGGTGTGGCTAAAGGTCCCCGCGTTTGAGGGGAAGGAAGGAGAGAACCTTCACTTCTGGGTCCGTGAGGTGGAGATCGCCATGAAGGCGGGTCTCATCTCGGACGAGCCAGTTCGGGTGGCGTTTGCCCTGTCCAACCTTGGTGGACGTGCCAAGCACTGGGCATACACCAGGGAGACGACATCTCCTGGTTGCATCCTGGGCTCAGCTATGTGAACAGCTTCGAGCCGCGTTCCTACTGGCGAGCAACGGGTTCCGCCAGCGCTCACGCTTTCTCGCGTGTAAGCAAGGTAAACGTGAGCTGCAGGAGTACGCGCAAGAGATGCGCACGTTGGTGGCATCTCTGGCAGGGAATCCTCTGCCTGAAGACATTAAGACAACTGTCTTCATGGACGGCCTGAAGGTCGGTCCTGCTCGCACCCAGCTATTCCGGGTGCAAGCAGCAACTATGGAGGAGGCGATTCGTATCGCCCTCCAAGAAGAGTACAGCCACAAGCAGGCTGGTACTCTTCGGGAAGAGGAACGTCGCCACGATGAGAATGGCGTTCCTCGGGAGGCGGAGCATCGCAGCAATGACGCTGTTGCTCCTGCTGTCACGCAGCCCGTTGATACCGGTGCGTACAGCGAGCCCGAGCCCATGGACTTAAGCTCAGCCGAGAGCTTGGTCCGCTGCTATGGATGCGGCGGACATGGACACTACCAGCGTGTGTGTCCCTCGCTAGTCCTCGGGAAGAAGACGGTCCGTGGGCCCCAAGTTCGGTGGCGCAGGCCACGGTCAGGTGGACGAAGACTCCTTGGCCACCAGTAGAGGCAGTATGCCCTACTGAAGAGCGCTAAGCCTTCGTGATGGGTGTGCAGGCTGTGCGCACCACGGGACTTAGCCCAGAGAGACGTGGTTCTCTCAAACCGGTGAAGGGCAGTGATGGGCTGCTGGTAGTACACTCGGTGTACGGGGATACGGTACCCCTTGAACGTTTGATGAGTTCTGGGGCGTTGATATGCCGCCGGAACGTCGCTTGGCATAGCGACATCCGACTGCACTCTATGTCAGAGTGGCGGTCGTGGGCTGGTCCTTGGTGGACTAGCCTTTGGTACGGTGAAGGAAGTACCAATGGTCCTCAACGGACCTGGACGTTTCGGCTCGATGAACTCGCGCACCGCGGTGCCGCTCGCAGTTCTCGCCATGAACAACATGGCTGTGCCGAACATAAGGCACAGCCCGGACTTTGGTGTGGCAAGGCTGAGAAGGGCCTACCAGTCCAGGTCTATGACGGAGCATTGGTGAGTCATGTTCCCACCTCCGTCATGACTGGGGCGTCTGATACAGACCGCCAGGACGCAGAAGCGTCACGGCGCTGTCAACGCGCTGACAGCTCTGCGTACAGCAAGACCATGCTCCGCTGCGGCAATACCACGGGCGTGGGTCTTTGCCCGGCGTGTGGACCTGCTACACCAGCAGCGTCCAACGCCGAAGGTCGTCGCGCCGTACGGGCTTCGACAGTGGTTATGCCTTTAAGCGCTAACCAGGTGGGTAACTTAGGACCACACGATCGCCCAGACCTTAACTGAAGAGGAAGGCGCTGAATGCGCTTCCTGTGTGGATAACGTAGTACCACACACGGTCGCCCAGACCTTAACTGAAGAGGAAGGCCATGAATGCGCTTCCTGTGTGGGTAACACAGTACCACACACAGTCGCCCAGACTATAACTGAAGAGGAAGGCATTGTCCATGCTTCCTGTGTGGGTAACACAGTGCCACACGAGGTCTCGAGTGCCTCTGATGTCGTCAACGAGACATCACGACGTGGGTAACGAAGTGCCACGTCACGTCAGCCGCCGCAAGTCGGGTCTGAACCTTGTTCAGGCCGACGTCGCTTCAAGCGACTCGGAGTCCAGGGCCCGGACTCCTCTGACTCGGTCGGTGGACACCAACTCTGTCCGGTGTGTGTGCGGGTCTGCCACGCCAGCTGATCCCAACACCGAAGGTCGTCGCGCCGTATGCGCTTCGACAGTGGTGGTGCCGAAGTGCATTCACTAGGTGGGGTTACATAGGTCCACATTGCGGGTAACAAGTTCCGCAAGCAGCGAAGCTGCTTAAGGAGACCGACATTCGGTGCTCCGAGCGTGGGTAACAAAGTTCCACGCAAGGTCACTCAGACCATAACTGATAAGGAAGTCGCTGTATGCGCTTCCGGTGTGGGTAACAGAGTTCCACACAACCAACGTGGGTAACAGAGTTCCACACCCAAGGCGAGTAAGATAGCGCCGCACACAGAGCCATTGGCTCGAGGCGCGAGGTTGTCTTGGCCTCGCCGGACGTGAGCAACTCGCTCGACGTCAAGTCGCGCAGACTCAAACTGCTGACGCGAAGGCTGAATGCCTTCGGTCGACACGGCCGACGCTGTCGGCCATACCGACGCAGTGCACATGGCGGAGAGCCGTCGTGCTGCCAGTGGCGATCACAAGCCACGAGAGACTCAATAGTCTCGAGTGTAAGTGGAAGAGAGGCTCGGAAATACCTTTTTTCCCCTGGTCTTGAGGTAAGACCAAGTTCCTTACGGAACCAGGCGTCGATGTACATCGACTGCAGGCTGGAGGCGAACAGCCGGGCTAGAGCTGCGGTAGCTCTAGCCGAACAAGACATAGTGGCGAAGAAAGTCACTGGCGCAAGGTGCCTCGGAATCGCTGAGCGAATCAGCAGTGTTGGGGCTGCAAGCAACCACACACGAGGCGAAGCGCGGGCCTAGTGCAATCAACGCACTGGTCCCTTGGTCATGAACGACCTGTCGCGTAGGGTGAACGGAACGTCTCATTCGCCGACAAAGCGGTTGCGGTACGTGATGTACGCAACGCGCCGGGTATAATGGGCCGTGGAGCCATAACCCAAGTGTGGTGCACGAGTGCACACACAACTGACCAGGTGGTGGTCGAGGCAACGCACGCAGTCGTAACTGGTGCCGCGCCGAGCATGACACCGTGGTGATGGCTGCTTGCCTCACCATGGGTTGGTACCCGTGAGTACTCGGTGTCAATGCCAGACACCAATGCCGCAGTGGCATAGTGGTGAGGTGTGCCCCACCACGGTCGAGTACCATCAAGGTACATGGTGACTGTGACAGACACTGGTATAGGTGCAAAGGATATGCACCATACCACGACCCGATGCGCTCTGGACGCTGTGAGTCAACGCACGTACCGTGCATCGGCACTGGCTGCTGTCGAGCAGCCTGCCAGGAGTTCCACGTAATGAACTCGTCGTGCATGACACACATGACGTGCACGGAGCACTTATGGTAGCTGTGGTACGTGTCGTACACAGCGTATCTCGTGTACGGGCCCATGGACCTGTACACTGTGCTTGCACATGCGTCGTGCATGATGCGAGCACTGGCCATGAATCTGTTCAGGCGACAGCACAGCAGAAGCTGTTGCCGCCAAACATGGCAGCCTTGTGGTGGGCGTACCGCACCCAAGGTTAGTACCGTACGGTACATGGTGTCGATGGGAGACACCTGCACCACGGTTGTGTACCGTCACGGTACACGGTGTCGATGAAGGACACCTTCGCGCTGTTGGTATGGTGACCAAGACGCGAAGAGAGCGTGGCAGAA